TAGCAGATGGCTGTCAATCGGCCATCATCCTTGATCCGATTTTGAATTATAAGTCCACGTTTTCGAACTTCGTTCGAACGGGGACTAAAAATGCAATGAAGTTAGAAAAGTGGGTAACTATTATGCAAATTAAGTCATTGTTATGCATAGATTTCAACCCAAAATTTTGAGATATGATGAAATGTTTTCAAAACATGCATTTTTGATTATTTTTTCGAGGTCGTTTTGTGGAAAACTTAGCTAACCGCTGTTTAACATTGTACAGCAGACACAAGCGCTCGTTGTGAAGTTATAAATGCTGTAAAGTTATAAAATGTAATATGTATATTGTGCGTGTACGTGAACTTTATAACAACATTGAACATCCTAAACTTCTTACCTTTTCGGCTGCCATGTTGAAAATGTCATGTGCTGGTCACGTGAACAAACACATTAACAAGAGGAGCGCCGCTAGTTGTTAATGTTGTGTTTACTTTGTTTTTTTGTTTTTGTTTTTTGGAAGGCCTGCTTCGTGATCATGTACCTGCTCGTCCACATAATTACAACACTACAATTACAGCGATGTTTACAGTCCAGTCGACTGTAAGCAGCCAGAAATTTAAAGAGTACGTCATAACGTGCCCATCATCAGGTAATTCTAAGTGCTAGGTCATTTTGAAATTCCAAAGAACAATAATTCAACGAATTGCCTCGCTTGTAGAGATGGATTTCTGAACGGCGATACGAATCTGTGCGAGCGGATGATAATGCTGATAAATAACAAAACTTTTTTTATTGATATGATCGGTTTAATCACCGATGACAGATAGCGTAGTGGTTGTTGCTTCAGAACTGGTGTCCTAATCACAAATCCTAACTGGGATTGAATGCCAAATAAGGGTTGACCTGTACAATTTTTCATTTCAATTTTTCAACTTCATTGATGTACATAACCAAAAAAGAAATGTAATATTTTCTTTACGGTGTCAATAAAGCACTATTCTATTCTATTCTGTTCTGTACCCCCAGCCCATACCGTGGGTGAATGTGTGACAAACTCAACGGGGAGCTCAACGACTCTGGCCGATATTCATTCACTAAAGGGAGCCTCCCTGGTAAAACTCCACAAGTACCTGTATTTGGCTGCGACTGGTGTACACCAGGGACTCCTATAACCGGGAAGACTGTCATGGGAAAAAGTTCACACAGTCATATCACGTAGTCCCAGACGTCGAATAAAGCGCTGCCTTCACACTAGGGTTAGCTATGTACATACAACATGGTTTCAAGTTTCATAGAAGGGATTCTATATTTTGACAAAGTATTGTCGACTGCCATACATATTAAAGTTGTACCTAGCCGCCCCCCTCCGGACCAGTTTTCACATTATTTTGTTTCTTTTTTATTTTTAATATTGTTTATTTACCAAAATATCACTTAATATTAGATACAATAATCGTATCAACATTTTTCTCCGAGCTATGAGTCTTCTTGAGGAAAATAACAGTATGTTGAACGAATATCTTGTTTAGTTGCGAATGACTAATTGCGAATATTATGTTGTTGTTGTTGTTGTTGTTGTTGTTGTTGTTGTTGTTGTTGTTGTTGTTGTTGTTGTTGCTAAATCCTTAATTCATCGTATATTTATCGGCAAGGATAGTTTATACAGGTTATATATAACCTGTTGACAAAAATGTATCATTCTATTTTCAACGACCACAATAACAAATTTCATTTTATTTTACTTTTTTGGTGATAACTTTACTTGTTGTGTCTTTGCATCATTCATTTTCATTATTATAATTATATACACGATTAATACGCGTATTAAAAATTCCAACTAAATCTCATCAGTATTTCTCAAGTTATAAATATGTTTTCGCATGTTGTGATGTCATATTGACCCATAATTCCGTGCTGGAAAATCAAAATGGTGAAAATCAAAAATGTATACTAATATTTATAGAAAAGAAATAAATTGTATCCCCTGCATTTGTGGAGTAATTTTATCTGGGAGTATCATCATGTTATTCTGAGTCCCGTTTAAAGTTGACCGGATAATATTGGTCGACACACAAAGTCGAAGTTTAGGCAGCCCAACTGTTTTCAGGACAGGTCCTTGAATTAATTATTTATGTATTTTATCATACATTAGAACCGCGAAGTTTTTTCTCATCTATACACTCACACAGAATGATTTTAAAAAAAAAACACTGGACACTAAATGATCCCCATTATCTTTTACAAACATGAAGCAAAGAAAACTTTTAAAATTTAAATCTAAATTTGATATAATTTTATAATTATTTAATAACACATCTATATAAGACAAAGTAAATGCCGCGGTGGCATCCATTCACTAAATCAAACAAAGATGGAACAGCAAATGGGCATTGTAACACTAAACGTTATTATGTTCTGAAACCAATCGGTTGTCAAGGGCGAATATCCACGTCACTGTGGATACTGTGCGGTGTCACAATGAATATGGATGCTTGTATCGATTAGTGACGCTCGTCGATTATTGACATTGCATTGAATCTTCTGACAACTTACCGAGAAATGCAGAACAAAGTAGAACCACTGTAATTCCAATCCAGTTCCACATAATGGTTCCCGTATAGAAATATGGTCGGAAAATGAACTACAACAGTTCCATGTAGTGTGTGTATATCAACTTCGTACTAGGTATATATCTTTCAAGAAGAAGACCGAATTACCGAATGAGACTGTTCAAGATAAACCACCGATCACAAGGAGAACGATTTTATTACCGTTATTTGACAGCAGATGACAAAATACATTGGTCAAAGTCATGTGTAAATACAGACGTCACACTTGAACTCATTTTTGAACACACTTGAACTTACACAGCAATATAATTCATAACACTCAATATATAGATTTGATTGAATTTCAATATAAAATAATAGTAACAGGTTTAGTATAATAGGTGCTTGAACTGCGTCGTGGCTGGCTTTTTCACGTTTTTTAGTGGCAGGTATATAGGGCCTGGATTTTTAAACTACAAAATTTCCCGAAAACTGATATGTATAAAATGTTTTTGTTTTTTTTAGTTTATTTTACAAAGAAACGAACCCAATAAAATTCAAAACTGGATTCGCTGGCTTTGCATTTTCAACTCTTTAAACTAAATATCACACCTACACAATGAATACCTGAACACTACATCAATCGATCATAACTACAAATTTTATTAGATTATAATTAAGGTAGAGATGCAGGTTCGTGGGCACTTGGGAGTGAAATTTTATTTTTTGCTTTTTATTATCCAAACAGTCTTGACTATAGACTGGTAACATTTTGTAGAATTGTGAATAGTGGAACATACTCAAAAAACGATTTTAAAATATAGATAACAAGTGCAAACAGTCTCTCTTTTGAATGCTTAGCAAGATTTAGCAAGGCTGTACATAAATAATAAAAAAGAAACATTGTGAAAAAAAGAAATGACGGGATCTCCATATTATGCACTATATTTAACTTTTAACAATACGATAATACATTTCAATTTGGAAATGTTACAACCATTTTAATTTTGAGCATTAGCAAACTTCTTACTGGGTGAATTGTTATGCAAATTAGCAATTATCTCAGCTTCTTTTTAGTGCACATCCCAGAACTTTAAAAAAATAGCTCCTAGCCGCTTTGACCTTTTGTTTTGAAATTTTCACAAATGATTGACAATGTGTTTATCTTCAAAACGCCGTCGGGCATTGTTTTTGGTTGAACAGTGTTACAACAATCGTACAGACAACTAGCCTGGGTGTAGTAGTGAAATTTGAGCTGCTGCCCTG